CCCCCCCCGTCAGAAAACGGTGGGATAGTTAGGAGAGGAGGGGGGGTTCCAGACCGTGGCGAGTTTTTTTTATTGATTTCGGGGGGTCGAGACTGGGCTGTTTTTGTGCTGTGGATGAAAGGTGTGATGGTGATGGTTGTTGGAGTGGTTACTAGGTTGGTGAGTGGCGAGTCTATAGTGTTTGGAAGGTTTGGCGTGGTGGTATGATGGTTTGTATGTGTGGAAAATGTATGTGTGGAGGATGTACTCGACCGATTTACTCTCTTCCATCATTCGAATCACCATCTTAGTACTCGATATGCTCTAATCTGATATCCTCGTCGTCCTCTTCTTCTTCTTCTTCTTCTTCTTCTTCATCCTCAATCACTAATTTAATCCCCTCTCCCCCATATCTTCAACAACCACACTCCACTTCCTCGGACCCCTCAACCTCGAAATCCCCTTTCCCACTTACTCATCCGCACGTAAATACTTCTCCACAGTCCCAACAACCCCGCCTCCCCCTTCCTCTTCGCAACTCTACATTGATCGTAATACAGTATGACGATGTAATGACCACGTTCTAACCTCAACGCGACCGCTTTCCCCGCACGAGCATTATTTCCGTATTTCTTGCGCAAGGGCCACTCGCCTCGCCCTATTCACTGAAAAAAGATATGGCGCTGTATCCATGACGCAGTGAGCGCATCAAAACATGGCATGCGGAGCCGATTTACTGCGATTTCTGCAGAAGGAGTATACGGTGCGAAGAACATATCAGCGGACGCGGTACTTGAATATCGCAGTCTCGAAGAACAGAACGCACCACGCTGTCCACAAAGCATGGCGCTAGGAGAGTCAAAGAGGTTGTAAATACACGCGAGAGCGGTTGGCTGATACAATACTCTACGGATGACGATACTACATGATGTGTTTGATATCTATCTTCAGTAGTTATGAATCTGGGGAACGAGAAACCGGAGGGTGTGGAGCCGGGGATGCGTTTAGAGTGTTGAGTGAAAAAGGGGGTATAGCGCGGAATGAAACTTGGGAACGAGGAGTGTTGTGTGGGTTGAGGGAAGGTGTTAATTGAGTGGTGGGGAGGGAAATGTTTGTTGCTTACCGAGGATGTTGTCTAGTACATAGTTACATGACAAGTTAGTGATTGATATCAGATTTAATACCCCGTTACCCATAGTCGGGAATATACGAGACTTTACGTCGAGCTACTGGGCGACTTTCTTTCCTCTTTTGTTAAGAAAGTGTGCTTTCTGTTTTATTTGGAAAATGTTTGAGTAGGAATATTGTAGCGCGATGGCTGAGGAAGTGAAAGACATAATGGACACCAGTAAGCAATATCATGGACTGGGAAATGTGATATATACGACAAGAGAATTGTAAAGAAGACGCCGACCTTGATTATAGTAATTGATATCACCAAGAGTCCGTAACTTGACCCAAATATCCTTTCCCTCATGCCGTCAACGTTTAGTTCTGGACTGTAAACCAATTCAAGTACGAAGTAGTAATGATAGATATTTAACTGCAATATGATCTCCTATTTACATATAAATCCAACACAAAAATCTCCATCACCGCGTCGATCTATTAACCTCCACCGGAAACTTCTCAAGACTCTCATACCATTGCAGTGTACTCCCAATCATAAACGCCCAGCTGCCCCAAAAAGTACTCAGACAAGCCTGATACTGCGCCCAACTACTACTATCATATCCAAACGCCGGACACAACGTGAATCCCACACCTCCGATCAAATTCAGCGCTCCAATCCACCAGCCGAGTGTCCGAGGCGCTGGCTTCCACCATTTCGGTTGCGTTTCGATCATGAACAAAAAACCAGAGATAACGAACCCCAACCCACCCACAACCTGCGGCGTCCAGTAAAAAACAATCGTAACAGTCTTCGACATGTTATCATAAATGCCCGGCAATGCTGTAAACCCCGCAACCCAAAAAATGGTCGCCCCCACAAACTGTGCCAACGACGCTAAAAACCCCAAGTTGTGAATATAATGACTCCGCAACTCCTCCCTCGCCGGCCACCAAACCCACTTCCTCCTCTCCCCCTTCTCCTTCTCCCCCTCCCCATCCCCCCTCTTATGCGCATGCCCACACACCCCCTTCTCCACCCTCACCCTCCCCTCCTCCTCACCCTCAAGCACTCTCTCAACCGCCCACCCAAAACACCCAGACCGCCCTTCATTCACCGCCTCAACAAGCAACAGCACCGACCCCACTTCAAACACCGTAGCCCCAATAAACGCCGTAATCCCACCACCATACAAGGTCTCCCCTTCAAACTCCGTCTGCGGCCGTACCAAAGGCAAAAACACGAAGAATGCGTTGAGGATCCAGAGAACGCTGCCTATTGTGAATATGTAGGCGATGAGGAAGGATAGGTCCCAGATGGGGTAGTAGGTTGCCATTTGCCACATGTTGGATAGGATGGTGTGCGCGGAGGTGGTGGGGCGCGGGGCGGAAGCGTGGGGTTGGGGGATGGAGAGGGCGTGGCGGCCTTTGCGGTCGTTGCGCGAGGTCCATTTGAAGCGGATGTCTGGGTGGGAGGGGGTGTAGTAGTGGGCTTTTGTGGGGTTTAGGAAGGGGAAGGGCCCGGTTATGTGGGTTGGTATTGGATGAAGTGTTTCGTTGGGGGTTATGGGTACATGGGAGGGATGGAAGGTTTTGTTGCGCTTGGGGTTGTGTGAAGTTGGTGGTTTCATGGTTTGCTTGGGAGGTTGCTAGGTGGGATAGCGTTGCGGTATGAAAATGAGCGACGGTGTATGTAAACAGTTGGAATGAATGGATCTTTTACATATGGCCAAGTGATTGTTCACGGTTATGGCAGCGTGGAAAAGTATCGTTGCTTACGTCATTGCGTCGCATGAGAAAAGAAGAGGTTGAGGGTTATATCCGCTAGCTATCTCCGATGCCACTGAGTAAGTCCTAGGTTCGGTCTTTGTACTTTGTGTTAATGAGTGTCAAAACACCTACAACCTTAATACATAAGTATGATCAGGCGTGTTTTCACGGGGGTTTTTTTTGATATTGTACTTCTATAATACATGTTTGAATGTAAAGAGACTAATCGTCTTAGGTATGACCAACATGACTAGACGCACTACCTACTCAGAGACAACCAAACTATGCTTTTGTATCCTCGGAGCTAAAACTCACAGAGCAACAAGGTTGGGACGAAAGCGCATCCCCAATGATACTCCTAAATAATATGCCAGAATCAAATTGGTATAGTAACAAACACCAAGCTCATAACCTTACAATAACGTTGAGACAGTAGGAAAGAAATAACTTCGCTTATTCAATTCCAAAGTGCTGCATAAACAAAAAAACGCCATCGTTAATCATACACGTCACTAGTCATACAAAACCATACCAGGTCCAGCCCATGTTGAAAGTAATATCCTCCACACCACCCACGACCCCTGTCAGATAGCATCATTAGTTCTTTCTTCCCTCCCGCTTCACCTTCTCCCTCTCACTAATCTTCAGCCCCCTAACCAGTTGCCGTGTCATGATCCTCGAGAGCTCCTTGGTATAATCCTTCATTCGCATACTAGTCTTCTCCTCATCGGTCTTCCCCTCGTACTGCTTTTCGCTGTACGGGGGCGGCGCATTTGTATACCGTGCATATTCTTCCTCGATGCGTTGGAAGTTTGAGTGGTTGGAGGTACTGGAGCTGGACCGGGATGAGTTGGAGGAGACTGGTGAGTGTGTCGATGGAGATGGGAAGGAATGATATGAATAGGACTGGCGCTCAGCGGAGCTTGTTGTTTGCATGGTTGACGAGCGTTTACTCCTAGTTGAGGTCTTGCCAACAGAGGAGACAGAGTCGTGGCGTGACGATATTCTCGAAGAAGGAGTTTCGCGTTCGTTGACACTGACAGTGGGATAGTGGTCCATGTTCTTTTATTAGGGGGGCAGCGAGGTCTGACTCGGTGGGCTGGGTGGTGGATAGGGAGTCAAAGTCAGCAAGTAAGGGGGGGGGTTCTTGAAGAAATAGGCAGCCTGTTTGCCAGCCTCACATTTAAATGTAGGATCCAGACCCATATGCGATGATGCACATCGAAGACTCAAAGCGGCTGCCTACATTCCCATCCCAACAGTTACGATATGGATGGCACAGACGCTGGGCAAGCCTGCAAGTCATACCACACCCCTCGACGTCATTTCAGTGTGGTAAAAGCCAGCCACCCTTGGTCCATCAAGGTCCAGAAGGGGCAATGATGGGTGGCCAATCAAGGAGATGATCGGTGCAACGACTGAAATCCCTCTTGATTGTCTCGGCGGAGGACAGGGCCCGGGCTCCGCGGTGGCTGCACACAATAACGGAGCGGGTAGCAAGTTATGGGGTCGTTGGCGAGGTGACGCTGGGATGCATGGTCGGTTGCGGAGAGGCGTATGCGAAGCGAAGGAGGTGTGGCGTTTGTGATGGACGGGGCCGATGATGTCACTCATCACGCTCACCCGAGCCGTGTCGCACACTCAAGACCTGAAAAAACTGAGCATGTGGATCGTAAGCTGAAACAAGCAGATCAAAGGCAAATGTTGGGTATCTAAGAAAACAAGCCCACGGCGCGGACATCGCGCTCACCGTGACGCGAGGTCGTGTGCACCATGACGACTTTAAGATGACATGGTGTGCACAAGGGAAAGCAGGTACCAGTACTGACCTCAACGAACTGATCCTATCACCATGTCCGCACCAGACCCTTGAACACATCCCTGAGCTTTCCCATACCCCGTGACCGTTTGGAGTGGCTTCTCTGCCGCTCCACCTCAATCTCCGTTGGTGCGTTGAAGTTCCCGCTTATTCTCCTCATTTCGCCTTGCGATTTGTAGTGCGATGACGAAGCTGTGTAGTAGGATCCAGCTGAGGAAATTCTCTCTGGACGATCTGCGTTGTCCCCATGATACGAAGATCGTAAGTATGCAGAGATCAAGGCTTGCTGAGGCAGTTGCTCGATTTCCGATGGCGACAGTACTCGTGGTGAGGTTGCTGTTTGAGACTGGCGCGACTTTGCGCGCTGTCGAGTAAAAGACGTGCGATGCCCAAGGTGTTGACTAAGACCTCCTGCGATGTCACCCATAGACTGCCTTGCTATGTGGAGTCAGAGATCGAGATTCTGTGCATACGATGGGCGGTGCATACCTTTATGATGTCGCTGCTCTTGCATGCTCCGTCTTTCCATATTTGGGCTTTTGCCTGAAAGGCTGTCGATACTTTATGATATCTGTAGTTTGTAGATTCAGTTCTTGGTTTCATTGGGTGTAAGAGAGAATGCGCGACACTCGAGTGCTCAATCAGCTATGATAAAAATCCATGGCAAGTCCTGGAAACCTAAGGCTCTTGAACAAGTACCGCCCTTCCATACTTAACCACACAGCCCTTCATCGCCATCATCCTACCAACGTCTTGCATAACGCTGTCTAACGTCATCGACTCGACTCCAACTGAGACGAATAGCCGACCAAGCCAAGCCTGCCTTCAGCCAGCTTGGCTGCTTTTGATATTCTCCCACAGTTACCTCAGATGCGATACAATCTGGTAGTATCGGCGTCATCTTGAAAGCCGCAAGTTCGGTTGAAACGGATGCTTGGTGATGTGAATGGTGGGTCTGCATGCAGGGCAGCCTTAGCGGTGCGAGGCAGAGTATACGGTGCATACGAGGCCACCAGCACACGGCTGTGAAGGCGATCTCAAGTTGAACATTCTGGCGAGTGATGTTTGCACGAAGTAACTAAGGCGAAATATACGATGAGCTGTCCGGTGGCGGTGAGATTCGACTGCGCCTTGTGAGGCTTGATGGTTTGCCTGACCACGACTGAGCCATTAGGCCGAACTCAACTCTCAGGCAACCGCCGAGCGCGCAACCTGGAGGAGGCTCATGTTAGCAGGAGTGAAGATCTTCGCAGCCTGAGGGGAATGGAGTGGCATTGCAATGTCTAGGTGTAATGTAAAGGGTCTTTGGGCGAGGAGAAGATCAGGACAATAAATGCACAGGAGGCCGCTCAAGTATCCGGAAGCGTCATGTGACCCAGCAAATCCCTATGGCAATACCGTACTCTTAGGGAGTTGCCGTTTCGACCTCCTTTCATATCAACCGAATAAACCAGAAACCAAACAGAGCCCACATGCTGGCCAGAGAACACCGAGTCTTGTTTCATCCCTCAAATGTACAGGGGGCGGTGCGCGAGGGTGTTCGGAGGGTTCATCTTTCGCTCCGCTTTGCTCAAACATCCATGCAACCTTCTGCATAAGTCCCAAAGTGGCAATGAATCTTGTTGACCATAACCATTTCCATACCTGCATTGTTGTGCTCATGTACACACACACACACACACACACACACAGCACAAGCCCTGACTCCAAACACAGCAAAGATATTCTTCTCGCAACACCACGTCTGCTATTCTATGACACATATGCTGCACCCTCTGTTAGTTCTTTTACTATTAAATATAGTATCGTATAGCTAATGGTAAATAACTTAAGCCTATGAGCGTGCGAGCTAAGCCAACGCGCTCTTGTGTGGCGCAGCGGAAGGTCGCGGCTGGCCTGACCACCAATGCCGTCTCCACCTAGTGGGGGTCTTCCGAGATGACGATGCGAGATGTAGCTGACGCGGTGCTTGCACTCTAGGGAACTGGGCGAGCGGAGGAGAGACCTCTTGAATCAGCCAAGGGTGTAGATTTTCTATTAAATGGGAAAGGGGCAGGGCCGCCATGATCATGTCGTGCCCTGTAGCAAAAGCCTCCAATACTTTATTTGTTTTTTAGGGTGCTTCAAGAAACACCAGAAGCTTCGATCAAAAAAAGACTATACGGCCTACCTTTTCGCGACACTGGGTGTAGGGTGACTATACTTGCTTCTTGAGTTTATGATATAGAGGTACGTAACGCTGCTCGTGAGTAAATTGTCAATTTCAGACGTATAGCGTTGGTTCCGACTTGGCCGGCGTACACGCTCAATGTTCTGGATTCTGGTAAGCACCATCCCTAACAAGCGCCGTTTCTAGGGTAAACGTACCCCGTGATACGTACTCCGAATCACGCCGACCGTACGCAGACACTAATCGGAACCTCAGCTGAACACCCCCCCTTCCCACCAAATATACACACATACCTCCACCTGATCTTCCTGGAATCATCAACCAACATAGAAATTCGAGCACATACCTTTCACAAGTCCTACCACCACAGTCGCTACCGAACTTTGCTCGTGTTCCATCCACACTCCCCGCATAATAATCGCCGGCCCGCGCCCGCAGATACGGAGACCGATCACCATATACAACCACCCAAAATGGATGCACTTCCTGATACTTCGCAATCCACCTCATCCAGATGCTCGACGCCTACCACACCCGACACACCCGTCTCGCCCGCCTCTTCGACCACAAGTTCGTACTTTAGCTCGTCCTCGTCCGGCGAGCCGCAGGTCCCATTTCAAATCATCGTCACATTCGACGGCAAGGTGCGCGAGATGCTGCGGATAGAGCGCGATGAAAACTCGCCTATCCAGGCACCTAGACCACGAAAAGCACCTAGGCCGAGATACTATGCAAGGAACACAGATTAGAGAGAGAGGGTGGCGGTGGGGGTCAGCCAGGCAGTTCGGAACGGTTCGGATGGGGCGAAAAAGAAAAAGGCGTTCGATGATTGGAATGGATTCACTATGGCGTTATGAAAAGGAAAGGGATTCGGAGCTTGCGGTTGTTATAAAGGATAGTAGGAGCCAACAGGCCTGAGACACGTTAGCAGCTATTAAGAAGAGTGTGGGGTAGGCTTCTGTTCTGGATTTATAATTATCAAAGATTTATTTGGAAGCCATAAACACTGTTTCGGTTAACGTATTTTCTAAGAGTGTCGCAACCGTCATGTTCTCTGTGTCGTTGCCGATGCTTTCTGTTCCAGCACTAGAGTTTTAATGAGATAAGGGTTGACGAGAGCAGGAGCACTCGTATCTTTTAGCGTACCTTCCACGTGGAACAGAACTACGAAACGATAAGCCGCAATTTCGTGAATCTCTTTATTAGTATGTATCACATTAATCATCAAAGACTTGATAAAGGAAAGTAGAAACACCGTTCATGATAATATCCTACACTTGATGCACTGGACGGTATGCGCATTTTCGCCTTCACCAAGAACATCCATCCCTCCCCCCGTTGAAAGGTTCGCCGAGCAAATGCTATTCTACAAGAATGTGCAGAAGACATGACTAGTAAAGCATCTCCGTGACGAATAGAAACACCCAACTCGACCCCAAAGAACTCCGTGCTTTTTTGTACCGTGACCAAGACAGAAAATGATAGCGGAAATCCCGAACATCGTCCTTTCCAGTTCATCATTATACCCGTGTCCGTTTCTACGGGATCATCATTACCCACTGTTTGCCTGCCAGCCCAATGGAGTCGTGATCCCGTAAGCAGCCGAGAAATGCCAATGACTAGGTAGGAAAGGTATTATGAGTAGAAGAAAAGGAAGACCGACCCTGACTAAGGTCCACGTATTGCCTATGACCAGAGTGCGCTGGTAAATGCAGTGGCGGAAGATTATTGGTGCCTCTTAAATGCACTCTTGGTGTGAACGTCGAGATTCGGCCACCAGCCGACTAAGCTATTGGGCGTGGGCTCTGTTGAGCATGCGTGAAGAGAGCGTTGAGAAGTCGTTCAACCTGGAAGGGACAACGAGTTAGTATGGTTCAATAGACAATTTGTAAGGAGCCTACGTACTTCAGGCGCCGCCTTCACGAACGGCAGCTCCCAGAATGCATATGTGCGGTTCTTTAGAATTTCCAACAGCGTGATGATGAGACCCCATGGGTGTGGGCGGTGAACCAACAGGCGCTCCAACAGTACACGAGTGATAGTCTCTTGAATCTCCGATGCCAGCGAGTCTTCGCTTGGGGGTCCGAAGAGGTGCAGCAGCGCATAGCTGTAGAAGTGAGTATGTGTGTTTGGGAAACGCAATTGGTTCGCGATAGCGCTGATAAAGTGGAACCTGGCCTCAGGGTGGAAGTCCTTGGCCAGCCTCTCAATGAGCTTGGTAGCTGGGCTCTCTGCGTCGAAGATTGGCGCTGTGGCTGATCCTGTACCAAGAGTCGATATGCCAATATACAATGTGATCGCATGGATCAACGCTGGATCGGCTGTCGTTGGGACAAGCTCAAAGCCTGCAGGCTTGGGCTCTGCGTAATACACTGCGCAGGTGACCTTGTCGACGTCCTGGTCCTTCAGCTCAGAGCCCTTCAGCAGATTATCAATGGCATTCTTAATGCCTGCATCTGAAAGTATCTGCTCGATATCGGCACGGATGACGGGAGCTTGAAGATCGTGCTCAAGGCGGTCTGCCTTTAATCCCGCAGTGAATGGATCTGGCATCTCGAGGATGGTAGATGGATATGCGCTGACAATCAGGTTACGGAGCTGTGTGCAGTGCATTGGAATGCTGTTGCAGAACCTGAAATGGTTCTCGACCAGGAACTCGGGGAAGTCATGGTGGATCACCAACAACACGCGTAGAACGCCGCGGTAGAACTGTTGGGTCATGATGGTTTCCCCAGTAGGCTTGATCAGCTTTCCAGTAAAGATCAAGAGCGTCTCCACAAGCTGAGCGTAGATGTCCCAACGCTTGTCGTCTTGACCCTCCTCCAGCATGGCAGGCACAAAGATACGATGCGCAACCAACGCAAGCCACGAAAAGGCAAAGCGTTGAATGTTGGAGGGCTGAACGATCAAAAGAGCTTTGGCGACTGCAAGGAAAATGTCTGCCTTTTGTTCTGCCAACGACTCTTCCTTCACTGCATCGTTCAAGTGGAAAAGAATCGTCGAAAATAGGCGGAAGAACACCTTCTGGTTGAAAGCATCTTCTCGGGTGGTGTGGTGGTTGCAAAGGACGAGCACTACGACGACGAGCATCTGATCCAAGTACCTCGCTTTGCTCTTCTTAGTAGCACCCTCTTGTTCACCTTGGTAGATGAGAAGGTCGACGATGAGCCGCCCAAGGGCATCGACCTTAACTGTCGCAATGTCTTCGTTACCACTTCCATATGGGGATGAGTGTTCCTGCTCATATGCAATGACAGAGGCATCGATACAAGTGCGAAGAAATGCGACTGAAGATTCCTGAGTCTCCAGCACCTTCTGTTGGTGGAGCTGGTAGATGAAAGCCCCAACGGTTTTCTTTG